ATGAAGAAAATATGGTAGGTTTGTGATTGACAGATATAGTTTTCAACCAAGGAAGCAGATTAGCAAAAGTTGTCCTTTAACTTTACATCACAACTCTTTTTGAAACGTTGCATGATGCATACTTTTATGCGTTCTGCATTAAAAGAACTACTCCCACATACAAACACAGGGGAATGTAAATTAATACCTTCAGTCCATCCCTCAAAAATAATTTTTCGATTTCTTATTTTATGCACATGTGCAAGAGTTTACAAGTAATTTACCTAGAAGCTGCTATGTAGGCCATATCCTTACAAACTATCCATCAAACTAAAGAGATTAAGCAAATCCATTTTAAAGATTCTTCTAGCATATGTGCCCCAAATCTGTCTAATATTGTCAGACTTTACCCCTACTGAAGAAGCAACCTGGTTGCAAATTTCATCCAGTTCTGTGAAGAAATAAGTTATTGGTTCCCCAAGACTTTCATGGCTGGAATCACTGGGTTGCTGTGAGTTTTCTGGGCTGTATAGCCACGTTCCAGAAGTAGTATCTCCTGACATTTCACCCACATCTATGGCAGGCATCCTCAGAGGTTGTAAAGTACCTCACATCCTTTGATGATGCCTGCCATAAATGTGGACAAAATGTCAGGAAAGAATGCTTCTGGAAAATGGCTATGCAGCCTGGAAAATGCACAGCAACCCAGTTATTATTTCCCTTTTAAAAATAACATACTTTAGAAGTGCAAATCTCTGTGTAAGAAAAAAGAAGTCATAATAACTATTGCAATTCTATTGTCATACTAGTGACGCCTAACAGAGAAAAGCAGTGAGATTCCTTCCATGAATTCAAGAATGCTTTATGAATTATTAAGAGTTGTTTGAATGTTTCTTGTTAACATCTAGGGACATGAATTCCCAAGGAATCTTTTCCAGTAAAATTAGCTATAGATGTAGCACTGTCAACAGGCTGAGTGGAAATATGTTGATTAAGATCTAATCAGAAGCTCTAATCCTGAGCTTCTTAAACTTTTCCCACTCATGACCCTTTTCTGCCTAAGAAATTTTTATGTGACCCCAAGTATATTGGTATACAAAACAGGTATGAAAATCAAACATTTACTGATAATAAACCAGCATTTGCACAGCCTGCTAAACAGCCTCATTTTTCTTTTTTGTGGAGTACAGCTGAAGCATCTTCTGCATAATCCATTGTAAACACTTCATGTTGCTGTTCACAGATTTATGTAAATGGGTGGCATTCGGAAATCTTTTACTCTGGCAAAATTAATGTTTACTTTGACCAACACACATTTTGGTGCCTCCACTAATAGCCCTGTTTCTGGTTATATTTGGCCTACTTATTCAAAATATGGCACCAATTTCCCCCGTCAGAACATATGCTATATGCTGTCACCATCTGTTTGCCCATAGAAAATCATGGTAACAAATACCATATCTAAAAGACTAGAGCTGATGTGGTCTATACAATGCAATTTTCTGAATCAGCACCCTAAATAATCCCAGAAACAAGTGTAAAAACTAAGACACCAAGGTTTTTTTGTTGGGCTGTGTAATTTATGTTGGTAAAAGAAATATTTTCCAGGGTGGCTCCCCAAGGAGAGTGGCAAGAGGGACTGACAATGTGTGATAAGTCCCAGCAAAAGATGTTGTCCTGCTGTAATTATGATTTGTCTACCTCATGTGATATACTCCTTTGTTTGAAAAGAAGACAAACTCAGTCTATTATTTTCTGCTAATCAGGAATCATACGCTTAAGTCTTCCTCTGCATTCAAGATTATACTGTAAAATCAACTGTTTTTCTCTGTCTTGTTTATAATAATAATAATAATAATAATAATAATAATAATAATAATAATAATAACTACTACTACTGCTACTACTACTTTGTTTTTATACCCCACCACCATCTCCCCAAAGGGTCTTCAGGAGGCTTACAAGGGAACAAGCCTGAAAATACAAAGTAAAAACATACACAATAAAAATAAAAACAAATTTAAAATCAACAACAGCATTAGAAAAAACAGTTACAATCACAAGTGCACATTTTAAAAACAGTATAATGGCTGAAGGATTGGGTGCTGAGTGCAGAGGGAACAGGAAATGTGCAATCATTCCTAGACAGGGCCCAGGGAAAGTGCAAAATACGATTCAATTCTGATTGGGTCACAGCTGGGAGGGTAACGTCCTTAGACATTTACAGTAACAGGAGCTCAAAGGGCTATGGTAGATCGATCCAATTCTCTGGTGAACTGCCTAATCAAATGCACAGCAGAACAACCAGGTTTTTAGCTCCTTATGGAAAATGGAGAGGGAAGGCGCAGTTAAGAATATGAACTGCTCAGATATAAGGAAGATTATGTAGAAAACAATTTATAATATCAAAAACTGAGACCAAAAAAAAGAGCACTTGCCAAGACAGATCTAGCATGGATGCATTAAAAAAAAACGAAACACAACTGGCTGGAATGTAAACAAGCACCCCCAAACGAGGAGACTATATCATCCCCATGGGAACTCTTGCTTTGTTTTCATTTCCTGTGCCCTGTCTAGCTCTTATCCCAAACAAACATGGCAATACATATCAACACATCTCAGTAGACTGGCAAGAAAAATACATTCCTGGTTTCAGTTCCAATCAACAGATACTGCAGCCAGTGTTCCAGCCTCAAACCGATTTCTGGGGTATTCTGGGGTGCAGACTT